GAATTGAGGCGCGTAATAAATAATGATACTGTTCTGTGAGGATGTGCAGTTTTCTCTTTTTTTCCCCATCCCATCGAGACCGCTATGTCCGAGACCAAGACAAGACCGAGACCAAATAGAGTTGAGACCAAGACAAGACCGAGACCAAATAGAGTCGAGAGCAAGACAAGACCGAGACCAAATAGAGTCGAGACCAAGACAAGACCGAGACCACAAAAAATTGGTCTCGAGAACTACAGCACTACCACACGGGCAACCCAATCTCCATCTTTGTCCACCATGTTGCACAAAAACCTACCAGGACACCTGTTAAAACATATAGCAACCCCAGCCGACCTGTTTGTACCATGGCTAAAAAATTTTTTTTATCTCCCCATTGTTGTGACCAAAACTTCACATCAGACTCAACAGAATGAGTTTCCTGGAGAAAAAAACAATTTGCCTGTTGCGCCTTGCAAAACAGAAAAACAGCTTTGCGTTTAATTGAGTTTTTAAGTGGTATCTTATCATGTAATATCAGATTTTTTCCAGACTTCTTAGTGTCTTTGGTTTGTTTGTAGTTTGTTTGCCTCTCGAAAAAAGAATATTGCTATTGTAACCCAACTAAAATAAATACAGGGTAACTAACGCAAGCAATTATGCCAATTAGGCTCAGTTAAATTTTACCCATATTATTTGCGCTTTTATTAGGGAATTTACGTTTTTTGCGGTCACGTTGTGACGGGAAAAACTGTGTGAGAGAGAGAGTTTCTTTTGGATCGGGAAGTATAGATGTTGCATGAATGATAAGAAAAGGAGTATTTGAATAAAGCAGATTAAAGCAAAGTTTCTTTAAATTAAACTAGATATCGATTGATATAGTTTTCCTTTTAATTTATTTTGTCAGAATACGCCACTTTGTGAAGCAGATGGTTTATGATTGTTTGTGGATTTGCTGAACTCCGGTGAGTTGAATGCCATGTGGCCTCATCTGTATTAATGGGGACCTGAAAAAAGTGATGTTCGTGTGAACAGGATCATATGTTTAAGTTAAAACCAATCGGAGTAAAAGTTGAGAAACCGCTTTAATAAGTATATTATATATTTTATTTTAATAATTTGTCAAACTTTGTGCAGTGTATAGATATGGATTGTCAGCGGTTAAAAATCACTGTCAATGGATGTTACGATGGATTTGATACTGTTATTTCTTTTGCATTATATTAGATTAATGCTGGTATAGTATAGCTATTTTGTTAATTACAAAATGTTATTTTTGTTTATGATAGAAATACTTGAAACAACTTAACCTTGAACTGCTTGGGAAATGAATGAGGTCTCATTAGAAATTACTTACTTGAATTACTTACTGTATGTACTACAGGTTGTTTTTTTTTGCACATTGGAAATTGATGGCGAGCTGGTCCTAAGAACTCTGAGCGTGCACCCTCTGCCTTGCTCTGGTGCTGGAACCTGGGCACATCGTCTCAGCCCTGGATTGGAACGGCAAGTCGGCCACCCACTCTTCGACGCCAGAATCAGATGAGCTGGAACTGTTGATCCTCTGTCACATAAAGTCTACCCGGGTAGAGGACAATTTGTTTTCTTTCTTTCGGGGATAAACTTTCCTTATTTTCCATATTGGTCATTTCAGTTGTCATCAAACATTTCATGTTCTTGTTATATTAAACTGTTTAACTGCATATACCTTTGTTCTTGTCCCCCTCCATCCGGATCTAGAGTAGTGTGTTAGTTATGTTATTATTTTATTCACATTAATTTGAACACTGGCTCAATTATAAGGCTAACACCATCTGATGTGACCCCTACTCTGGCACAAGGGTTACACAAATTGGCGAGCCAGCCAGGAGGGGGCAGTTTTGTTAAAATTGCTGAACATATCTATATACACTGTTGTTCTGATATATGTGTATATATATTGAGTGTACAAGGTGTTGGTTACAATCTGTACCATTTGAAAGTGAGTTGTAATATTTATTTTATGTAAAATGGATGTAGTAGTAACAGAAAGTGTCAAAGTGCCCAACGCAGTGCTAGTGAGTGGGTTGTGCGAGAGTGATGAAAAGGGGGAAATTTTTGAATTTCTAGAGAAACATGGCTATATTTCTAGGGTGATTAGAGTGCCCAGCACTGACAAAGAACTTCAAAATTCAGTAATTGTAGAGTTTGAATCAGCATCTGCTGTCCAGAGCTTAGAAAGCCAACTGCCTTGTTATAGACAATGTCCTGACAACCCTGACATTGTGCATTATCTCAGACTCCTTTCAAGTGTGTATACTGAATATGCAGCAACTGCAGTTACCCAATCTTACTTGCGTTCCTTGAAAGATATCTCCCGCCTGAGTGGGCAAGATATGGAGACAGTGCTTAGGGATGAGTTATCTCGTATCCAGCGCTCTGTTGGAGATGCTTCCCCTTCTCCCCTTGCCAAGCCAGAAACTAGTCGTAACCCTGCAAAAGGGGTTGATCCTGCTGCTGCTTGCGATCCACCTTTAGTCTCTTTGGATGATCCCAACCCTCTGCGCCGCATACAAATAGCTAAGTCTGCTCCTGAGATTTCTCTTAGTCCCAGTGTTGAGAGTTCTCCTCACCCTCCAAAGGTTATTTACCAACAGCTTCCAGAGCCATTTACTAACCCTGAGGTTCAGAAGGTCATTGTGGAGCATGTAGTCAGAACTAATGAGGCTGCTTCTTCATATCACAGTCTTAGGATAAGGCCCTTTTCCGGTCGAAATCCAACACCTAATCATGAGGTGGATTATGAGACTTGGAGGAATCAAGTAGAATTGATGCTGTCTGATCCAGCAGTTTCTCCAAGGCAAGTGATTAGGAAAATTCATGAAAGCCTGGTACCACTGGCAGCCACTCTAGTCAAGCATTTGGGACCTGACTCTGACATGATGTCTTATCTTAATTTGCTTGATTCAGCTTACGGCACTGTTGAGGATGGGGATGAGCTTTTTGCAAAGTTCCTTGGTACCCATCAGGATCCTGGAAAAAAGCCGTCATCTTACTTGAGTCGCCTTCAAATTGCTCTTGGTGTTGTGTTGAGAAGGAATGGAATCCCAGCATCAGACTTTGACAGGCAGCTGCTGAAACAATTCTGTCGTGGCTGTTGGAACAATAGCCTAATTGCTAGCTTACAGTTGGAGCAGAAAAAGGACAATCCACCCTCTTTTTCTGATTTATTGCTCCTGTTAAGAACTGAGGAGGATAAGCAAGCAGCTACATCAATCAGAATGAAGCAATATCTAGGCATGTCCAAGACAAAAGCTCTGTCCGCCTCTCATCATGTCCATGACTATGGTTTAACTGAGTTAGGTGAACCAGGTTATTCTTCTGGGTCTCCATCAGTGGACGCCAATGAGATGAAAAAGGAAATTGCACAGCTCAGGTCACAGCTGGCTTCCCTTGGCAAATGTAAGGGAAGTACTGCACAGACCTTTAAGAAGTCCAAACCTAATGAGACTAAATATAATGCAGAAAGCAAAGAAAAACCTAAGACAATTGCAGCAGATAAGTCATGCAGTAAGAGGCCTAAGCCTGGTTATTGTTTTAGTTGTGGGGAGGATGGTCACCTGGCCTCATCATGTAGCAATGAACCAAACCCAGCATTGGTGCAGGAAAAAAGGGAAGAGTTGAGGGAAAAGCAGAGGGCCTGGGATAAACAGAACAGTTCCCAGGGTACGTCTCATTTAAACAGGGAGTAGTTTCTGTTGTGGGACAAACAGAGACTGGACGATTCCATAGTCCCATTGACTGCAAAACGCAAACTGCATTAGCACCTGTGAGGTCAGTGTACAGGGGGTTACCTAAAGGGCTTGTGGGTCATAAATGCACAGCCAATATTAATTTTTCAGGTGTAGAATGCATATCACTGCTTGATACTGGGTCCCAAGTAACCACAATGTCTCAGTCATTCTACCAAAAGTACTTGTCCAACCTCCCCATAAAAACTGTGGATAGCCTGTTAGAAGTTGAAGGGGCTAATGGCCAATCTGTCCCTTATTTAGGGTATGTTGAGGTCGCTATAGTTTTTCCCGAGGACCTCATTCCTTCAAAGCCTGAGGTTAGCACTTTGGCCCTAATTGTCCCTGATATCAGGTCTAGCAGTAGTTTTCCTATTTTAATTGGCACAAACACCCTGGATGTGGTCTATGATCAACACTGCGAAAAAGCTAATTTTTGTACAAACACTTTTGCTCATGGCTATAGTCAACTCTTAAAATTACTTGCACATTGGAAAAAGCAGCGCGACAGTGGTCATGTTGGCAACTTAATTGTGGATGGAAAAAAACAAGTAATTGTTCCTGCTGGGTGGAAAATCCCTGTTAAATGCTGTGTGAGTTTAGGGATTGATCATGGGAAAACACCATTGTTGGTTGAGCAGCCCTCAGACATCTCATTGCCTGGAGGTATTTTTGTTGACCCTTGTGTTGTCACTTTACATGGCCAGTCACCTTACAACCTACCTGTGTGGGTTAGAAATGAGAGATCATGATATAATGCTTGCCCACAAATGCGTTATTGCCAAACTTATCATTCCTCGGGATATAGTCTTTCTCACCACTGTGAAGAGTAGTGGGCCTGTAGGAGCTAATTCTTGCATGCTGTCTGCTCTTCAACCAGATCCTGAAGGAAAATCAGAGTTAAGTTTCAATTTTGGTGACTCTCCACTGCCAGAACCGTGGAAAGAAAGGATCACTAACAAACTAAACCAGTTTTCTGATGTTTTCTCACAGCATGATTTAGATTATGGGCATGCCACTAAGGTCAGGCATCGTATTAAACTCCAAGATGAAACACCCTTCAAACAAAGACCCAGACCCATACATCCTAATGATTATGAGGCAGTTCGAGATCATCTGAAAACCCTCTTTGAAGCGGGAATAATCCGTGAGTCAGAGTCTCCATATTCTTCCCCCATTGTTGTGGTCAGGAAGAAAAATGGTGATGTTCGATTGTGCGTTGATTATAGAAAATTGAATAATTTGACAATTAAAGATGCTTATGTGCTTCCTAATCTGGATGAAACTTTTTCTGCACTTTGGGGATCACAGTGGTTCTCTGTGATGGACCTAAAATCAGGTTATTATCAAATCGAGATGGATGAGGCAGACAAACCTAAAACCGCTTTTGTATGCCCTCTTGGTTTTTGGGAATTTAATAGAATGCCCCAGGGAATAACCAACGCCCCAAGCACATTTCAACGACTAATGGAGAAATGTATGGGAGACATTAATTTGAAAGAAGTATTAGTGTTTCTGGATGATCTGATTGTGTTTTCTAACAGTTTAGAAGAACATGAGACTAGGTTGTCACACGTCCTTACTCGCTTGAGAGAAAATGGGTTAAAATTGTCTCCATGTAAGTGTAAGTTCTTTCAGACTTCTGTGCGCTACTTGGGACATGTAGTTTCAAGACAGGGTGTCCATACTGACCCTGAAAAGATCAGTGCTATTATGACTTAGCCAGTACCAAAAACTGTAAAGGAACTTCGTTCATTTCTTGGCTTTGCAGGGTATTACCGTCGATTTGTTAGAGATTATGCTAAAATTGTTAAGCCATTGAACAATCTCACAGCTAGTTGATTGGTTTAAACCTATAGCCTATTGGTTTAAACCTATAGCCACATCTTGCCCATCGAACACTAAACAGTAGCTTTCATTTGGTACTAAATAGTTTGTTTACTAGAGTACTGGTTTACCTACACAGCAAATGTGCCAGTGTTAAATTAACACTGCATGGTGTCTATATGTGACCACACCATTCAGTGTTACCTTTAACAGTTTTCAGTGTGCAGTGAGTGTTGTTTTTACAGTGTTAATCTTTATTAACTCTTATAGTGTTCAATTTACAACCTACAGTGTTAAGACAACGTGTCTCCACCTCTTCCCAAATTGCAAGCCCATATGGGTGGCACACAAGTACAAAATGGGTGGCCCATATCTGCCCTATTTTAATGTCTCTCATTTGAGCTCATTTGGGCATTCAGCTGCTGTGTTTTACTAACCCATCATAATAAGAAAGACTTAGACCAATATAGCCTTTTTTCTTTTTATGCATTTTTATTTTTCAGCTCATAATAATCGAAAAACTGTGCTGAGAACCCTCTGTGGTATAAAAGTGCGTGAAATGTATGGCACCAAACACAGATTATAAAGCTAGACTCTGTTAGACTGCATCACATAATTATTTAGAAGGGCTGAAGGAATGTATTTCCGCTAAAGCAGATAAAATGGGTGGTGGCATCATTGGCCTCTCCTGGAGCCGACACCTTATCGTGGTGGAGAGGTTTGCGTGTTCCAATGATCCCAGGAGCTAAGTTGCCTGGGGCTTTAAGCCCCTGGTAGGGTCACCCAAGGCAAACAGGTCCTGGGTGAGGAACCAGACGAAGTGCGGCTCACAGGACCCCTTATGATGAGTTACAACATGGATCCACGATTTCCCTTGCCCGGACGCGGGTCACCGGGGCCCCCTCCTGGAGCCAGGCCTGGGGGTGGGGCTCGATGGCGAGCGCCTGGTGGCCAGGCCTACATCCATGGGGCCTGGTTGGGCACAGACCAAATAAGGCATGTGGGTCCCCCCCCCAATGGGCTCATCACCTGTGGGAGGGGCCATAGGGGTCGGGTGCAGTGTGAGTTGGGCAGTGGCCGAAGGCGGGGACCTTGGCGGTCCGATCCTCGGCTGCAGAAGCTAGCTCTAGGGACATGGAATGTCACCTCTCTGGTGGGGAAGGAGCCTGAGCTGGTGCGCGAGGCTGTGAGGTTCCGACTAGATATAGTCGGGCTCACCTCGACGCACGGCTTGGGCTCTGGAACCAGTCTCCTCGAAGGGGGTTGGACCCTCTTCCACGCTGGAGTTGCTCACGGGGAGAGGCGCCGAGATGGGGTGGGCATACTTATTACTCCCTGGCTGGGCGCCTGTACATTGGGGATTACCGCAGTAGACAAGAGGGTAGCCTCCCTTCACTTTCG